CAAGAGTTAAAATGGTTGCAAAGGAAGGGAAGAAAACACAGCGAAGGGAGGAGTGTAAACGGAAACCAATAGTAGCCCCTTCTCCTTTCTCTGGCTACACACTCCCAGCACAGATAGCTTCATTCATTGCAGAGCTGGGCATGTTTATGTGCAACCATTTCAAAGCTGCTTGCACTCCCACACAGAGAAGAACATCAACCCGTTCCATTAGAACCAAGAGGGCAGGCAAACAGAATTGCGGGCATAAACACAGGCATTCTAACCAGACACTGGAAAGTCCCCCTAAGTAACTAAGGGAGGAAAAATCAGTCTGGTGTAAGCCGCTTTCTACACTGCCGTATAATCCAGTTCAAAGAAGATAGAAGGGGCCTAAGGGTTGGACCAGGATTCTGGAGAACTGGGTTCCAATCAGCCCTAGAATCCCACTGGGATTGTATCTACACAGGTTGTATCTACACAGGTTGGCAAACACTGAATAATAAATGCAGTTTGGCATCGCTTGAAGTGCATCAGCTCAATGCTCTGGAATTGAGGGCGTTGTAGTTGTCTAAGGTCTTGGTGCTTTGGAGGGAGGTTCCAAACTATAACTCCCAAGGTTCCAATAATATTGAGCCATGGCAGTTCAATTGGTATCGAAGGACATTGACTATCTTGGTGACCTTGACCAAATCCCATTATCTCAGAGGAAAGGCAGGGTGAATAGGAAACTCCCTGATGGGATGTCCCTGAGTAGTAAACAACTTGGCACAACACAGCTCAGTATGAGGCTGACTCTTCCCTTTCAGTGGGCAACAACATGGGAAGAAAGGGCAGGCAAACGCAAGTGTGCATCTACGCTGAGAAGGAATGCAGCATGTGTGTTTTTTCTGATTGCAATGATACTGTTCACACTATACAATTACAGTCCACCAGTGTTATCTGAACTTCTGCAGCTCCATCCTATGCAATCCTGGGCTTTGAGGTTTAGAGAGGGATTCTACAATAAAGCCTGGCACACTGGATAATGAATGCAGTTTCATATCACTTGGAACCACTCTGGCTCAAAGCTATGGATTCCCGAGAGTTGCCATTTTGCAAGGACTTGAGCTTTCTCTCCTATGGAAGGATGGAGCTTCACCAAACTACAACTCCCAGGATGCCACAGCAGTGAGCCAAGCAGTCTCAAACTGCCTGAATTCCACAGTGTAGATGCAATGAATCACACTGGACCCAGGCCATGCGCCTAGTGGTGCCATAAAAGCATGTTTCCTCCATCCAGAAAACTGTTGTTTGAACACAAAAGACAACAAAACCCGGGAAGGGCAAAAAGGAGGGAAGAAGAAAGGGAGAGACCACCAGAATCTCCAAATAGGTCCTTGAAAACAAGGAAGAGGAAAGAGAGGAAAAGAAAAAACACCAGGATGTCCAAATAGGTCCTTGAAAACAAGGAAGAAGAAAGAGAGAAAAAGAAAACAAAGAACACCAGGATATCCAAATAGGTCCTTGAAAACAAGGAGGGAAGAAGAAAGCTAAAGAGAAAAGAGAAAGACTAGTAGGATCTCCAAATAGATCCCTAAAAACAAGGAGGGAAGAAGAGAGGAAAAGAAAAGAAAGAACACTAGGATCTCCAAATAGATCCCTGAAAACAAGGCGAGAGAAAAGAGAAAGCCCACAAAGATCTCCAAATGGATCCCTTTCGCAACTGCTCAAATGCTGGGCTTCCCAGACTCCAATAATCCACACACACAAACACACACAGCAGCCAAACAACCTTAAGCCTGTATTATGGTTCACGCAATAGTCCTCTCCTCGCCATGCCTCCCTCCTCCCCCTCCTTCAAAATAGGAAGAAACCTCGCCTGGAACCGGATTTGTATTTTGTGTAAGGAGGTTGTGATGCCGATTCCAATCTTTCTCATCGAAGGGCTTGAAAAGATGAAAGGACACCCTTTTTTTCCCTTTCTGTAGCCTTTCAAAATGCTGGCTACACAGCATGGAATTTGGGGAGGCGACTGGATTAAACAGTTGGGAGTAATAGATGGTAGTGGTCAATATTTTTTTATTACGATCATCATCATCATCATGATCATTATTATTACTAGGCGACATCGTGGAATGAGCTCCAACAAGACGACGCTCAATCCTTAAAAATATTTTCTCAAATGAGTTGGTTTAATTGGAAACTATTCACAAAAAAAGCAGATAGACAAAGGTCACTTTCAGCCCCCAAAGCGAACATGTTTCTATTAGGGTTTTTTTCCCAAATGCAAAACGAGGATCTGAAATCTGGAGGCATTTCTAAAATAATTTCCTTGATTCCTTTATCCCAGGCACGGGCTAAATTGGGCCCTCCCTTCAGCCTCAGGCCCCTTCCTTTCCCCCCTCTGTTGCTTAAGTGGAAAGGAAAGGAAAGGAAGGGCCTGAAGCTGTTGGGAATGGTGGGAGCTGAAGTCCAAGATACAAAAAAACAAAAACAAACATAAAAACATAAAAATAATAACATAAAACAATGACAGCCAACATAAATATCTCACTTCACAAAAAACCTGGTTAAATTAGTAAAATACAGCAATAGCTGCAGGTATAAACAACAGTAATCAATTCTCAGTCATGTAAAGTGCTTCGTGAAATCTATGGGTCCTCACAAATAGTTTCAATTCGGATAATATTTTGACTTTGGTATTATAGCAGCAGTGTTGTTCAGGTTGGTAGTTCGTGTGACTCTATAGCCCAAGTATGGGCAAACTTGGGTCTTCCTTCCAGGTGTTTTGGACTTCAAGTCCCACACTCTCTAACAGCAACAGGCCCTTCCCTTTTCCCCCTCAGCCCCTTAAGCAGAAAAGGAAAAGGAAGGAGGTTGGGGCTGTTAGGAATGGTGGGAGTTGGAGTCCAAAACACTTGGAGAGAGGGCCCAACTTGGCCCATGACTTTGTCCTCTTGGAACTGGACACTTCAGTCAATCAAGGGATCATATGCATACACATGTTGTGGGAGCTGAAGTCCAAAACACCTGGAGGGAGGGCCGAAGTTGGCTCGTGCCACTGTGTCCTTTTGGAACTGGACACTTCAGTCAATCAAGGGATCATCTGCATACCCACATTGTGGGAGCTGAAATCCAAAATACCTGGAGGGAGAGCCCAAGTTGGCCCATTATTATTATTATTTACTTTATTTATATACTGCTTTTCTCATCGCTGGGAGGACTCAAAGATGTTTCCAACATATTCACGGCAAAATTCAATGCCTTGCAAAACACATAAACCTAACATAAAACAACAGTAACATAAAATTATCAATTAAATCAGTCAATCAAGGGATCATCTGCACACCCACGTTGTGGGAGTCGAAATCCAAAACATCTGGAAGGGAGGACCCAAGTTGGCCCATGCCTTCATCCTCTTGGCAATGGACACTTCAGTCAATCATGGGATCATCTGCATACACACATTATGGGAACTGAAGTCCAAAACATCTGGAAGGGAGGGCCCAAGTTGGCCCATGCCTTCATCCAGTTGGCAATGGACACTTCAGTCAATCATGGGATCATCTGCATACACACATTATGGGAACTGAAGTCCAAAACATCTGGAAGGGAGGGCCCAAGTTGGCCCATGCCTTCGTCCTCTTGGCAATGGACACTTCAGTCAATCATGGGATCATCTGCATACACACATTATGGGAACTGAAGTCCAAAACACCTGGAAGGGAGGGCCCAAGTTGGCCCATGCCTTCGTCCTCTTGGCAATGGACACTTCAGTCAATCATGGGATCATCTGCATACACACATTATGGGAACTGAAGTCCAAAACACCTGGAAGGGAGGGCCCAAGTTGGCCCATGCCTTCGTCCTCTTGGCAATGGACACTTCAGTCAATCAAGGGATCATCTGCATACACACATTATGGGAACTGAAGTCCAAAACACCTGGAAGGGAGGGCCCAAGTTGGCCCATGCCTTCGTCCTCTTGGCAATGGACACTTCAGTCAATCATGGGATCATCTGCATACACACATTATGGGAACTGAAGTCCAAAACACCTGGAAGGGAGGGCCCAAGTTGGCCCATGCCTTCGTCCTCTTGGCAATGGACACTTCAGTCAATCATGGGATCATCTGCATACACACATTATGGGAACTGAAGTCCAAAACACCTGGAAGGGAGGGCCCAAGTTGGCCCATGCCTTCGTCCTCTTGGCAATGGACACTTCAGTCAATCATGGGATCATCTGCATACACACATTATGGGAACTGAAGTCCAAAACACCTGGAAGGGAGGGCCCAAGTTGGCCCATGCCTTCGTCCTCTTGGCAATGGACACTTCAGTCAATCATGGGATCATCTGCATACACACATTATGGGAACTGAAGTCCAAAACACCTGGAAGGGAGGGCCCAAGTTGGCCCATGCCTTCGTCCTCTTGGCAATGGACACTTCAGTCAATCATGGGATCATCTGCATACACACATTATGGGAAGTGAATTCCAAAACACCTGGAAGGGAGGGCCCAAGTTGGCCCATGCCTTCGTCCTCTTGGCAATGGACACTTCAGTCAATCATGGGATCATCTGCATACACACATTATGGGAACTGAAGTCCAAAACACCTGGAAGGGAGGACCCAAGTTGGCCCATGCCTGGTATAGCAGCTTGTCCTTCCAACTGATGGAGGAGACAATATGAGCTAAAAATAAACAACACACACACATATGTTTTCCGGGCATTTACCTGGAAAACACACACATATGTGTGTGTGTGTGTGTTTTTTTTTCCGGGTAAATGCCCGGAAAACATGTGTGTGTGTGTGTGTGTGTGTGTTGTTTATTTTTAGCATGTGTGTGTGTGTGTGTTTTCCCGGTAAATGCCCGGAAAACTCACAGCAACCCAATAAACCCAATAAATATAGCCGCCTGTCCTTCCATCAATCCCAACTTTTGGTAGAGGAGATGGAATTAAAAATAAACTACCCCCCCCCCCTTAACAGAAACACACACATAAATATATAGGTATGTCTATGAAACACTCACTTTTTCCATTTGCTGTCCCGAAGCAAAACGTGGTCAAGATCAGCAAAAGCCCCCCATATAAGGTCAGGGACCCTCCTCCAGCGCCAGGCTTCATTCCTCTCTTTTTGTCCTTCTGGGTTGGGAGCAAAACTGGCCTTTGGGAAGTCCACAAAAATAGAAGAATCTAACAACAATACTAATCAATCTGTACAGGGTTTCCAGAGAAGCGGTGGAACTCTTCTTCCCCAGCCTTGCCCCCCCAAAAAAGAAGGATTTTCGTGGAGAGGGGAAAGCCAAAGTCTCCTTTTGGAGAGAGAAAGGAGGACAAGAACACAGAGAGAGAGAAGCGTTTGGGAGTCCTTGGATGTTTCCCTGGTTTGGTTCTTTCTCTTTCCTTTGGGGAGGCCTCTGCCAGGGGAAGGAAGGAAGGGAATGGAGGGAGGAAGGAAAGGCAGGGATGGGGGGTCTTTTGGAGAGGCCAAAAAGGGGTCTTTGGCCCCTTTTTTCTCTTCGAGGAGGGAAGATCCCGGCGTGCGCCTCAGCCTCGCCTGCAGTCATCCAGGAGCAGCAAACATGTCACACGTTGGAGCAAACAGTCCGCATCTTCGACCTCCATCTTTTTTCTTCTCCTCCTCCTCCTCCTCCTTCCTGCCGGGCTTGCCTTCTCCGCCCCACCCCCACAAACAAATAAACAAACAAATAAACAAACAAACAGGAAAACACCAACACGGAGCCCTTCTTTGCCTCCTCCTTCCTTTCTCTCCAAGCTCCTGTGCGCAATGCAAAAGGCCTCCTTGCTTTTACGCACGGCTTCTCCTTCTCAATCTCCTTTGAAAAAAAAACCCCAAAATGCAAAAAATGCAAAAAAAAAAATCCCCAAAACCCCAAAGAGGAAAAGCAGAGGAACGACGAGGGGGTGTTTTACTTTGGAGAAAAAAAATGAATTCAATCCAATGGAAGGAAAGAAGGAAGGAAGGTTGTTGTTGTTTTTGGAGAGGTTCCTTTCTGGTCCTTCTTCCTGACTCCTTTCTCTCTCTCTCTCTTCCCTTTGTATTTTTTCGTCCCACCAAAAAGCTCTAAAAGGAGGAAAAATAGAGGAACGACTGGGGGGTTGCTTTCCTTGGAGGGGGGGGGACAAATTCAATCCAGTATTTCTTCCAATGGAAGGAAAGAAGGAAGGTTGTTGTTTTTGGAGAGGTTCCTTTCTGGTCCTTCTCTTCCTGACGCCTTTCTCTCTCTCTCTCTCTCTCTCTTCCTTTTGTAATTTTTCGTTCCACCAAAAAACTCTAAAAGGAGGAAAAATAGGGGAACGACTGGGGGGTTGCTTTCCTTGGGGGGACACACAAATTCAATCCAGTATTTCTTCCAATGGGAGTGGAAGGAAGGAAGGAAGGAAGGCAAGGCGGATCTTGTTGTTGTTTTGGAGAGGTTTCCTTTCTGGCTCGTTTTCCCCTCTTCCAGAGGCCTTTCTCTCTCTTCTTTTTGCCCCCCAAGAATGGAGGAGGCGTCCTTCAAAGGGTCCGAGGCCCCTTCCCCATCTTTCCTCGGCCTGTTTTTGCCAAATGCGGATCCTAAATGCGGAATGGCGATGAATGGAGGGAGGAGACGCGGCGCGCCAAAGGCTTGGCTTTCTCTCTTTCTCTGTCTCTCTCTCTCTTTCCCCCTCCTTTTTTCCCAGGCTCCTTCCCAAATAGGAAAAAGGAGGGAAAGGAAGGGGGGGAACCAAAGGAAGGGGCACCTCCCTCTGGAAAGAAAAAAAAGAGGCAAATAAATAGGGAGGGAGTCCCTTCTCCAAACGCCTCCCTTCCCTTCGGAAAGGCGCCTTTGCAAACAACGCCAGGCGAGGCTCGAGGGAGATCCCGGAGGCGGATTCCGAAGCTGGGTTTCTCTTTCTCTCTGTGTCTCTCTTTCCTTCCCTTCTTCGCCTTCTCTTCCCAAAGAAGCAGAGGAATGAATGGTGGGAGGAGGAGGAGGATCCGGCGTTTGGCTGCTGAAGGTCAAATCCTGGGGAGCAGCAAAACCAAAGGAAGGAAGGAAGGAAGGAAAGCCAAGCAGCACTGTTCTCCCTTGCTTGCTTGCTTGCTTGCTTTCTCTCCCTCCCTCCTTCCTTCTCTCTCTCTCTCTTTGCCAGAGGAAGGGGCCTACCAGGCCGGAGAGTCGCCCTCCGCAGCAGTAGCAGCAACAACCTCCGCCTTCCTCTCCTCCTCCTCTTCTCCTCTCGACTGCGGAGGCTGGCTTTTTCCACGGCGCCGCCTCCTCCTCTTCCTCCTCTCCTCCTCTTTCTCCTTCCTCCTCTCCTGACTCCCAGCCGTAGCCCAGGCTTTCCCCTTCCTCGCCCCCGCTTTGGGGTTGCAGGCCTCCAAAGTGGGTGCACCCCCCTCCCCGACCGCCTCTCCAAATGCGCAAAAATAGAGACCCTCTCTCCCTCTCCAAAGGAAAACGCCCAAGTCTTTGGGTATTGAGAGTTTTGCAATGCTTATGGTGGTGACTCTGAAGGTGCCAAGAAAGGAACCTTTCTCCCAAGTCTTTGGGCATTTGGGGGTCTTGCAATGCCATGATGTGGACTGGGAGGAGTGCTCCAGACTCTGAAGGTGCCAAGAAAGGGGGTGTTCTCCCAATCTCCCAAGTCTTTGGGCATTTGGGGGTCTTGCAATGCCATGATGGGGACTGAGAGGGGTGCTACAGACTGAAGGTGCCAAGAAAGGAGGATCTCTCCCAAGTCCTTGGGCATTTTGGGGGTGGGGTTGCAATGCCATGATGGAGACTGAGAGGGGTGCTCCATACTCTGAGGGTGCCAAAAAAAGGAGGCTTTCTCCCAAGTCTTTGGGCATTTGGGGGTTGCAATGCCATGATGGTGACTGAGAAAGGTGCTCCAGACTCTGAAGGTGCCAAGAAAGGAGGCTTTCTCCCAAGTCTTTGGGCATTTTGGGGTCTTGCAATGCCATGATGGTGACTGAGAAGGGTGCTCCAGACTCTGAAGGTGCCAGAAAGGAGACCTTTTCCCAAGTCTTTGGGCATTTTGGGGTCTTGCAATGCCATGATGGGGACTGAGAGGGGTGCTCCAGACTCTGAAGGTGCCAAGAAAGGAGACTTTCTCCCAAGTCTTTGGGCATTTGGGGGTTGCAATGCCATGATGGTGACTGAGAGGGGTGCTCCAGACTCTGAAGGTGCCAGAAAGGAGACCTTTTCCCAAGTCTTTGGGCATTTGGGGGTTGCAATGCCATGATGGTGACTGAGAAGGGTGCTCCAGCCTCGGAAGGTGCCAGAAAGGAGGCTTTTCCCCAAGTCTTTGGGCATTTGGGGGTCTTGCAATGCCATGATGGATACCGAGAGGGGTGCTCCACACTTTGAAGGTGCCAAGAAGGGAGCCTTTCTCCCAATTCTTTGGGCATTTGAGGGGCTGCAATGCCATGATGGAGACTGAGAGGGGGGCTCCAGACTCTGAAGGTGCCAGAAAGGAGGGGTTTTCCCAAGTCTTCAGGCATTTGAGGGGTTGCAATGCCATGATGGTGACTGAGAGGGGTGCTTCACAGTTTGAAGGTGCCAAGAAAGGAGCCTTTCTCCCAAGTCCTTGCGCATTTGGGGGGTTTGCAATGCCATGGTGGTGACTGAGAGGGGTGCTCCACACTTCGAAGGTGCCAAGAAAGGAGGCTTTCTCCCAATTCTTTGGGTTTTTGGGGGTCTTGCAATGCCATGGTGACTGAGAGAGGTACTCAAGACCCTGAAGGTGCCAAGAAAGGAGCCTTTCTCCCAAGTCTTTGGGCATTTGGGGGTCTTGCAATGCCATGATGGAGACTGAGAGGGGGGCTCCAGACTCTGAAGGTGCCAAAGCGAGGAACCTTTCTCTCTTTGCAGTCTTCTCCCTTAATTACAACACGAAGTAAACACCCAGGAGGCTAACAATCAGTAAGGTGCATCCAAACATTATTGGGGTTGGAAAGCAAAGGCTTTGCAATCCTAACAGGGGAGACTAAATCTCGACTAAATCGGAAGCGTCTATTATTCTTAACTTCTATAATAACTTCATCATTCATTTGTTTCTCTTAACTTCTTTGCAATCTGATAACATTTCTATTACATACAATTATCTCTGTTTGTTTCTATTACATCTTAAACACATATGATAGGAAACACAACACCCCCCCCCTTTTATTTTTCTCCTTTGCTTGCGTATAGGGAGCGCGCACGCACAAACGCACGCCTCCGCCACCGCTCTGCTTTTTGCAAGAGACGGAGCCCGGATTTCTCTCTCCTGGAGTGCAAAGGAACGGAGCCTAGCAGCCCCTTATCCACGAATTCCGTATCCGCGGGGCCTGGCTACTCCTTGGAGAAGTTTTCTCCCACTCCAAAAAAAAAGAAAGGTACCTAACTGCCTATATAAAGGTGCTTCCGTATTACTATGCTGTTGTATATATGTGTGTGTGTATCTCTATCTATCTATCTATCTATCTATCTATCTTCTATATAAATAAAAATGTAATGTTCGTTTGTGGGATTAACAGAACTCAAAATCCACTGGACAAATTGACACCAAATTTGGACACAAGACACCTAACAACCCAATGTATGTCCTTCACTAAAAAAAATTATTTTGCCATTTGAGAGTTGTAGTTGCTGGCATTTATAGTTCACCTACAATCACAGAGCATTCTGATCCCCACCAATGATAGAATTGAGCCAAACCTCCCACACAGAAACCCCATGTGGGCCACAGCAACGCATGGCAGGGGATGGCTAGTCTATATAAATAAAAATGTAATGTTCATTTGTGGGATTAATATAACTCAAAAACCACTGGACAAATTTACACAAAATTTGGACACAATACATCTATAACGGCAACAAGTGAACATCACTCATAAAAATACTGAAAAATGCAGCAGAAGGGCTTTAAAAAGCCAAAAAATAAAAAATATATTACAACGCATGTGCAAAACCACATATATACACGAACACACATATAAACACATATACACAAATATATACACACATATTTATTTATCGTGTCAGAGCAGCCAGTCCATTATATTACATTTCTAACAGAACAAAGCAAACAAACAGAAAAATACACAACTTGTGAGTTTGGTAGCTGGTTAAATGTCCTTTGACCAGTATCTGGCCACTTGGAGTGCTTCCGGTGTTGCTGCAAGAAGGTCCTCCATTGTGCATGTGGCAGGGCTCAGGTTGCATTGCAGCAGGTGGTCAGTGGTTTGCTCTTCTCCACACTCGCATGTCGAGGATTCCACTTTGTAGCCCCATTTCTGAAGGTTGG